GCTCCTCCACAGTTGACGAGTTTCTGCAGCGGCTGAACCAGGAGACAGGCATGAGGAAGTCATCCCAGTCTGGCTTTGCCCTCTTGACAGATGACCCTTCTGGCAGGGACCTGGAGCACTGCCTGCAGGGGAGTGTCAAGGTGATAGCTTCCCCACTGCTCAAGGATATTGGTGGTGGAGACAGAGCACATCCAGTGGGATTCTGACTGTTCAGCAGTCCCTTTGTTGCTGAGCCCAAGTGTTAGACAATGTGCATGTCTGTGCCATCCTCAAATATAGCCAGCTATACAGGCAAGAGAAAAGCTGCATATTCACAAAATCCCCAAAGCCTGCGTCCCTTGGCCACATAACATCCAGGCGAGGAGCTTCTTCTCAGCTTAGTGTGGGGACAGTGAGGCCCCACCAAGCCTGTCGCCAGTTACATCTGCCCACCCATAGGTGGACAGTTCTGTTCCTAGACCCACTGGGTGCCCTGTGGTGCACCAGCACCCCACTTTTACCGTCTGTCAGGGCCTCTGCTGTGCTTATAGGTCCAATTCCATTTTAAGGAGTCAGTCCTTACAGTACGTCTGTAGGTAAAGCCCCTTGAATGGGACTGACAACCGAACTGTGCTGTGGTCTGGAGTTAGTGCCCTGGTGTTAAGCATTTGTGGGAACATGCTGCAGCCCTCTGTTGGTATTATTTGGCTCTAGCATCTTCTTTCTTTACAGCGGCAGAATAAAGGCATCTAGTCTTTCAGCATTGCCTGAAAAACTGCCACATATCTTCCTCATAAATGTCCAGGCACCTGTAAGGGTTTGTTACATGTTAGACCTTTGGGTGTATTTGAAGAGGAGAATGAGGTGGTGGAATGGAAATGGAGCCAGAGTTAGGTAGCTATGGGTTTTGACTGGAGCCTGTGTAGCTCCAGGGCGGTCCCTTGGCTGTTAGGGCTGGTGGGAGAGCTTTCCTTGCTTTGCTGCTCACCTTGCCCCAGCTGCCTTCTACTTCCTTGTTTGTGAGTGAGTCACAGGCACTGGGTGCTGGGACCATGAGGCCCCACAGGGCAGCTCCTGTTGGGAGGAACCTCCTGCAGCTCTGCCTCAGTCCAGTCTTGGCTAGATAATTGTTCTGTTCTTGAAGGGCTTTTCTGATGTTCCTCTTTGGCCTCTTCAAGATCTGTGATGCCATCTCCAAGTGGGAACAAGCCCTGAAGGAGCTGCACCCTGGAAAGTCTGAGGGGGGGACACGCATCGTGAAGCTGATGTACAAGAACAGGTCCTGAGTGCTGCCCAGGTGTGGGTGGACTTGAGGTTGCCACTGGGTGCCAGCTCATCCTCTCCCGAACTGGGTGGCCTTTTCGGGACAGGGAGAAAGACCCACAGATACAACCCTGCCTGATGGCCATTAGCTGAGGCCCAGCCTGGCAGCCCTCCCCACACTGTCTGTACACAGGTGCACACACATGTGCGCACACACACCCACTCACTTGACAGAAAATCACACCAACCTAATGGGATGGGTGCATGTGTTACATTATAGGAATGCCGTTTTATGAGTACCAGATATTTAAGGCTGAAGAATACCTCCTCTACAAATTCCAGAGAATACACAAGTAGACAGCCTGACTTTCTATCAGTTTAAGAAAATCCCTTCCATTGGACTCTTGGAATCTTAACTCATCTGATTCTATGTACTATATTTCCCTTGCCAAATCCAGTAAGTCTAACGATGTATTCAATCTTCATGGCCTTGCATCTCCTCTGTCATACCTGGTTACAGCTTTCTGGGGCAATAGAAAATAGTCTCACAAATGGTATGAAGAGTAGTTTCTCTTTTGGAAATCAAGATAAACAGATCCAGAGAAAGCTTCATCCTCACTAGGGTCCCAGCTGAGACCTGGCTTCTTCTGTTCCCTGTAGGCTGCACTTTCGGAGTCATGTCAAAGGGGAGACGGAGCGAGAGCGGCTGTTGCTCGCCTACCAGACCAATGGAGAGATAGTGGCAGGGAGGTTTCCAGTCAGCAAGGAACTGGCTCTTGAGATGGCCAGCCTGATGGCCCAGGTAAGGAAGCAGGAGGGTCGGGATGCCACCTTGGGGCTGCTGGGTGGAATCACTGTGCAACCTGAAAACAGGAGCTTCTGCACATCTGAGGCACCCAGAAGGTTTCGAGTATGGGAAGCAGCACACTACACAGCACAGCTTCTCACCCACTGCAGATCCAGGCTATCTGCCGAAGGCTGTACTGGAATCCAAGAGGCGGGTTTGAGTCCTAGCTGCTTTGCAATGTGGGATCTTGGCCAAGTCATTTCACTTGTACATGCTATCTGTACACTTAAAAGAAAAACACTTCCCTAGATGCCTCCACCAGGTTGTACTCAGTGTGATACTTGGCTAATGTATATCCCAGGATATATGTGCTAAAATTTATAAGCCATCCAAAATTCAGAAGAATTAAAAGAACACACATTCAGACTTTTAACATTCTTTTTTTTTGGTATTGAGGATTGAACTCGGATCCTTGTACTTGCGAGGTAGGCGGTGGAACCACTGAGCTAAATCCCAGGCCCAGACTTTTAACTTCCTTAGCTTTAGGAGGCCATCTGACCAGAGGTATCTGGGATATCCATGGTTACCATAAGAAATAGCCTGGATCTACATGCTGAAGCGGAAGGGGAAATAATTGTTGATCTTTATAATTATGAACATCAATATGAATACTCTGCAGCAGACCCTGTGCTAAACATTTGAGATGTATATCCCATGTAATTCTCACTCTCACTTAGATGAGGAAATGGAAGCTCACAGAGCTGGTAAATGGCAGGGATGGGGTTTGAGGTGTCTGACTCCAAATGCTGGTGTCCTCTAGGATCCGATCTGTAGCATCTTCAATCTGTAACCCATATTTTGGATTAGAAACTACAATTTCCAGTTTTCCTTTATCTGGCACGAATTAACTGTCTTTGATAAGACACTTAGCTACAAAACAAGAGTTGGTCTAGAGAATCTCTAATATTCAAGGATCCAAAGGCTGTTTCTCTAGTATCTGTGAAACATGAATTAAAGGGTCTGTTCACAAGGGTTTTCACATTGCCCATTGACGCCCCACCTGTAAAACGATGGTTTAGTTCCCCTCAGCACATAGCAGGCCCCATCCACCTCCAAACTCTTGATGTCTTCTCGTGTGCTTCTACTACAGATAGAATATGGGCACATGGAGAAGCCTATCCTGCCAGGCCCTGGGGGCACACCCCCTGCCAAGGCTCAGCATCTCCTCCAGCAGGTCCTAGACAGGTTCTACCCAAGGCACTACAGACATGGTGCTCCTCCTGAACAGCTGAGGTATGTAGGCTGCAAGGTCTTGTGGGGAGTCACTGTGGAGAGACACCAGAGCCATGAAAACATATTGGCACTTGACTGGCATTTCTTTCCACCCACCCAAACCAGGCATCTGGCAAATATGCTGGCCACAAAGTGGACATCATTGCAAGGCTGTTCCCTGGCTGAGTACACCCGTACCTACCTGACCGTGGCCCGGAAATGGCCTTTGTTTGGTGCTAAGCTCTTTGCTGCTCAGGTAAGAACCAATGGAAGGAGCAGCCAACACCCTCAGATGTACCCTAGATTAAGTTTTTCCTGGAGCTGCCTTCCCCATCTGGTCACCTTTGAGCCAGTCCTGCAGTCCCCACCTGCACACTAATAACCACTAGGGGTTGCCATCTCCCCACCTATTTCTGGACTACTCCAAATTCCCATGTTCCCAAAGGGAGGTGTGATTCATTGTTTATTTTCTTGTTTCTTTATTGACTTCTCAGTGCTACTTCTGAAAGAGATAGGGTCAACTAATTTGTACACAGATCTGAAAATAATAATCTAATGCTATGTGTTTTTATAAAGTTTGAAAGAACAGTGTATAACCTAAACAAATACATTTCTGCTGGTTTAGCACGGCACACATGGAGATTAGAACTACTCAGGCAACAGTTAATTTCACCTCTGTATGAAGGCCAGGAGGCCAATAGTAATTTCAGTTGGAGCTTTTCCTCACCAGGTGTCTGGTGTGCATGTTTTTTTGTTTTTTTTTTGTACAGGGGATCAAACTTGGGACCTTGCACTTGCAAGGCAGGCGGCAAAACCACTGAGCTAAATCCCCAGCCCCTGTGCATGAACTTTATAGGTAGCCACAGACATTATCCTGTGATCAGGCATTGTAATCACAGACATAAGCCGAATATGAGAACATTCACAGAAGCTACAGATCAGAAAATGGACATTCGTTCATCCAATAAACAGCTGTTTAGCTTCTATGTCTAGTGGTAGTTGTTTTAGGTTATAAAAAGTGGACAAATCAGACACAGTCCTAACCTTCATCAAGCTTCCTATCTGGTGGGAGATACAAAATAGTCATATACATACTCAGTTTTTCTTTCCATCCATCTATGTACTTATCAGATTTTTTTTAAACAAATGGTCATAAGTACTATGAAAGAAAAGTACAGAGGTGTTATAAAGGCATATAATGGAAGCCCACTTGGTCTGGGAGGCTGGAAAAAGCTTTGAAAAACCTCTCTGGCCTTTTGGGTAGGAGAGGGAGATCTTCTGAATTACCTTTCTGTAGCCCAGGCAATGAAAAAATGCAGGAAAGGTCCACCAAATAGTCACAAACTCACTGGTAGAGCCCAAAGCCCATAAGGTTGCATTTTTGCTTTTTATTTTATTTACAGCCCCTAGGAAACCAGCTGAGGCAAGCTGCACTTTGAGTGGGCTACTGTTTCTGAGAGCCAGAAGAAAACAGCCCGTTCCCCATGTAGATAGCAGTCATGTGTGGATAGCCTCTATTCTGCAGCCCTTGGCTTTCCACCCAACAGGATATCATCTCCTCCACCTCTGGGATGGTCAGTAGGTGGCCAGATGCCTCCTGTTACAGCAGCCTTGCCCATTCGTTCTGTATGCTATATGCTGTCCAAATGCCACTTTCAGTGTCTTCTGAGATGAGGTGCTTGAAAATCAGTTCTTAGCAGATCCCAGTACATGCAGTTCAGAATCTCTGTGGATGTGCCTGATGGGACTGTTCTGTTTATGCAGCCTGCCCAGCTGTCATCCAAGGAGAACACTTTGGTGTGGATTGCTGTGAATGAAGATGGTGTTAGCATCCTGGACCACCACACTATGGTATGGGGGGTAGGGGGCTGCTTCTGACCCTTCTTCCCTCCGAGCTCTGTCTTGTCTTCGCCCTGGACTCAAAGGCCTGAGTTACGTGACCATGGTTTCCCCACTTCCACCCCCTACCCAAGCTGTGCTGCCCTGCAGTCTAAATGTGGCCTATACATATTTGAGATATAAATCTCTAAGTCATGACCACTTTGAGGTTCTCCCTTCTGGGTTAATGCTACGAATGTCTAGAAGAGATAGGGCAGAATTTCCCTAGAACTCACTGGCTCCTTTCCACAGCAAGTGCACGTCACTTACCCGTACTCTTCATTGACAACCTTTGGTGGCTGCAGGGATGACTTCATGCTTGTGATCAGATCCACTCCAGACCAGAGCTCTGGAAAAGGCCACATTGACAAGTTGATCTTCAGAATGGCTGCTCCCAAGGTGGGTCTGACTGCTGCTATGTTTTACTTTGGTGTGATATGAGGAGGTGAGTGTGGGGCTTAGAGAGGAAATGGGTTACAGTAGGACTTGAGAGTTAACCCTGTCCCAGTACAATTTTTGGCCTTATGTGTAATCAGCAGTCGAAAGGATTCAGGGAGCAATGCATCTCAGTGTCACTGTTGAGTTGGTAGGAAAAGGGGCTGCTGGGAAGGAGTTAACTCTGGTCCCACCACTACTATGCTCTTTTACAATTCTCTAGAGCCACAATACCATTCAGATCTGAGTTGGTGCCCACCTGCTTGTCTTCTTGCTGCAGGCCCCGGTTAGGGCCTTTAAGGTGCTCTCATCTTATGCTCAGGTTCTGCTGCCTCAACACTAGTCAGTCTCCATAGTGCTCCTCATTCGTTATGAAGACAGCAACAGACCTCTTTTGCTTTAAGGTGTTGTTCCTACTAAGTAAAAGAAACATTGACCAGCATAAATAACAATTATAAGGCTCAGAAATATGACTTACTCTTCCTGGACTCCCTCTGTAAGGAACCCATGTTGTTCTCCACTTTTAATCCTGAAGTTTGCCACACTCCTCTTAATACCACCCTTGCCAAAGGAGAGGATACAGAGCCCCTTCTCCAAGGCACTCTTGCCTTGGCACAGAACATTGGCCCTCCATTTCTTGGGAGGGCCCTGTTCATCTTCAAAGATCTCCAGACCAACAGGGCCTCTTTCCACTGGGCCCCTGAACCTCAGCAATGATCTCCTCTGAACATTTTCTCCCAGGTGGGTAGTTTGAGAGAAAGAACCAAAGCCCAGGAAGGTTATCTACCCAAATAACAGTAGAAAGCCAGCATGTCAAGGCTGGTTCAATTCCTTCATTCTGTCCTCAGATTGCAGAAGCTACCTTCATCATGGCCAGCTACATGAACCACTGCTCTGCAACTGTGAACTCACCAACCTACCTGCCTGCAGCACACCTGCCAAGGGAGCTGGATGGACAACAGTTTTTTGCTTCTGTTTCCTGTGCTACCAAGGGGCCAATATTGCTGTGAATATTTTTGTTAACCCCTTTCCCCACCAGCATTGGTACCTCTGGGATTAGATTATATCCTGGAGTTTGATACTGTGATGGGTCTAACAGCCCTCTCCACCCCACCCCACCCCCCAGTTGTTCTCTGACTGTAAAACCTTTACTCTCTGGGTGTGGTGTAATGTATAAGGGCCTGCCTTTACAGATTCAGACGAGTGTAAGAACCACTTTGCCTTTTTTTTTAACAAAAATACTGACTCTGGATGCTACCTGATTTTAGACACAGACAGGGAAAGTCCATTGATACTGAGGTCAGCAGTGCTGTACTTGGGGCTTCTGCACTGATACTCTCGGGAACTAATATTTTTATATTGTATATGGTCCTTATGTGGGGATTTATACTTGAAGTTTCCTGTATATTTCTGTACAGAATAGGACAACTCTACAAAAGTGTAGAACTCACTAAAACTGGACTTCTCTTCCCAAGTGGGAAACGTATGGGCAGGTCTAAAGAAAAAGAGATAGAGTAACTTTTCCATTACTGGTGAGTAGGCACCTACAGAGCCCCTTGAGGTGAGCAGCCTCAATCCCTGTGGGACAACACTCTATTCCTGCTCAGATTCAAGCTTTCTGCCTCACACTGGGCTGGAAGCTGACCCCAGAAGCACTCGCTGTCCAAGCAGGGGCAGAGACAGGTCCAGTCCAACCTCTCCCTGTCTCACTTAATGGCCAGACAGGGCTCAGTAAAGGCTGTGCTCCACTGCTGAAGGACAGGGGGGCCACTGTCTCCTGGCTCTCTCAAAGCCTAAACAAATGCCCTCTGCTGCTCGGTGAGGCCACTGAAGATGAGTCAGGAACACAGAAGACGACCTCACCTCATTCAGGGGTGGGGGACGCTCCTCAAGGCTTCTGGCAAACTTCCACTGAGAATTAGTTGGACGCACAGGGCATGTATGTGCTATCTACCCCAGCCTAAGAGTACCATGTGAAAGGAGAAAGCTTCTTTCACCTTTTGCCTACTTGAGAACATCATAATTTCCCTCAACTCAGGTCTTCTAATTGAGTGTGGGTGACATGCTATTTACCTCCCCTCCCAAAAAACTCCAAAACGAAAGAGTTCATACTCTGATTTTCCAACATCTAAGAAACTGAGTTTTATTTCATAGCTCTAGGGCAGCCTTGCCATTTGTAAGTGCTGAAAACTGGGTTTAGCAGGAACACCTCAAAACCAAGGCTTTAACCTCAACAATGTGTGTATGTGGCACACTGCAAAAACTACAAGGTTGGAACTAGCTTATCTGAACACCTCAGCTGCTGCAAGCATTCCCTCTCTTACCTTTTAAACTGAGAATGATGAAAAAAGAGGCATGAGTCTCTGCCTCTTATAAATGAACTAGACTTTGCAAGGTAGGAAGCTTTACAGCCATTTTCCTTTCTGCCTTCCTGCCAGGGTTTGACGGTCTAGCTGGACATTTCTACCTCATACTAGGCACACATCACAACCACAGGCTCCTGGATAACCTCCAAGGCTGGTGTAAAAGGCAGATTACAGCTCTGGTTTGGTATCCCAAGCATCTCTTAGGCCAGTAAGGATATTGTCTACCTAGGAAGTTTTTAGAAACAGGGTCCCCAAGCATGGAGCTGTGTTCATACTGAATTTGGGGATCAAACTATTTCCCTTACTATCTCTCCTTCCTGACCCTTCAAGACCTTCTCTTAGTTTATTAAATTTTTTTGTTTCATCCCTCTTAGCAAAAGTGTCTTGAAATGTGCTTGATGCCCATGGCTGAAATGCCATGACCATGTTTGTCAATAAAAAGCAGCTGTCTGTGAACCAATTATTGTGAATATTTAAGGATGAGTTCTGTTTACTGAGTCATGATAGATTAACCCTGTACAGAACACAGGAGCTAAGTAGACATAAAGTAGTCTTTTATAGGACATTTATTCCTCCTAACCTGTACTTGAAGAGCTTGACTTTTTTCCCCTTCACCTTTATGCAGGGGTACTATGCAGGTGGAAATTATACCTTTCTCTTAAGATCTGATACTGATTTCCCAATGTCTTACACCACAAATTTCAACACAAAGTAAATTTGAATGTGCTTAGGAATTTCACAAAGTGCTCTTGGCCATGTTAATTTTGATATATTGTGTCAAAATTCTTAAGGTGGGGCCAGGGATTTAGCTCAGTGGCACTGTGCCTGCTTCACAAGCGCAAGGTCCTGAGTTAGATCCCTGGTACTGAAAAAAAGGACAAAAAAGAAAAGGTGGCACTTTGTTTAGTAAAGTAGGCAAAACCTTACAAGAGGAACATTATAATACAGAAATATTTTGAGTCAGATTTCCAGTCACCTGCTCTACAGTGATCTGAGACCCACTCCATCCATTCTGGTTCCTAGGACTATGTCCACCTGGTGGTTTGCAGTGGAGACAAACCAGCCACTACAGCTTAGGAGCCATCTCCCCTGGAAGATGGTACTGGCCTTCTGAATGCTGGGAACTCATGGGTTTGTTGATGTGGCTTTCTGGTGTGTCAGAACTTCTTGGCAGCTCTTGTACACTTCAATCAAGCAGTCCAGCCGGGGCTTGGCACTCTGAATTCCAAAGGGGAGAAATGCAAAGTCAGGGTGAATCTGAGAGCTTAGTGGTGCTCATCCATGTGCACCCTTACTGTCCTACCCACATCAGGGTCTAAATGGCCTAAGTGTGAGCTCAGAGAGGCAGGAAGCTCAAGCCTCAGAGAGCCTTGCTGGGAGACTCGCACCTAAGCCCACAGCCCAGCCTGTGGACTGTGTAAAGTGGGAGATTCAAAGAGAGCTTTTTAATCTGCCTGAATTTTATGACAGAAAAAAAGAGTAACAAGGCCCTGTCAGGAGGGGTCACAAGTTATGAAGCAAGCCTCAGAGACAAGACAATGCAGATTAAATATATACATTCTGAAAAATATTTTGTTCTACGAAATGTAACGCAACTGAATTAAAAGCCACAGAATGGGACAATTATATGTGAAAATTATATCTCTCTCTATATTTTTTTATTAAATTCTTTTATTGGTACATTGTAGGTATACAACACAATTACATTTCTCATTGGGAATTGTACCTTTACATAATGCATCTTGGTTCTTATTTTTTCCCCATTGCTAGCCCTCCCTTCAAGCCCTCCACCCTTCCCTATTTACACAGACTTTATTTCCATTTTTTCCATTTCTCATCATTTGAAAATTATATTTAATAAAAGTTTGCTAGTCAGAATATACAAAGAATTGTTATAAATGTATAATCAATATCTAGATTCCACTTTACTAATAGAAGAGATAGTTTAGAATAAGATGAAATGACAGGTGATACCTACAAGGAAATATGAAAAGCCTATCATTTACAGAGATTAAATTTAGTAATTATAAAATGCTTTTATCTATGTGTTAAACTAGCAATATAGCATAGAAAAACAAGTACAAAGTCCACTTGTTCAGTCTCAAACACTATAAAAATGTATGAAACTGTAGGGTTTAATAAAATAATTGTGAACTATAATGTAATTATTTTTAGTTCAGCTGTCTTAAAACTTGTGAAAAAGGAAAGGCAGTATGGTAGGGTTATATAGAAATACATAATTACCTATGAAATAATTTATTATAACCAGATTTGTATGATTTTTATAAGAGCAAACCAAAAAATAACCTGGGCATGATTTAAAAAGCTAGTAATGTATAATGACTTTGTAAAAAGATACATATTAGATGGTTTAAAAAATAAGACACAGGAGTATGTTGATGTACATCTGTAATCCCAGGGCTCTAGGAGGCTGAAGCAGGTAGATCACAGGTTCAAGGCCAGCCTGGGTAACTTTGCAGTTTACTAAGATTTTATCAAAAACAAATGAAAAAGGGCTGGGAATGTAGCTCAGTGCTAAGGCCCTGGGGTCAATCCCAGTACCAAAAAAACCCACACAAAATAATGTAAAATAGCAAATGTACTTCATTAACTTCTAAATAAAGTTGTACATTGGTAGACTGAGAAAGTCAAAGTAGATGAATGGGGTTTTGTAGACAGAGAAACGGTGAATTATATAAGCTTTTTTTTTTTTTTGTACCAGGGATCGAACTTGGGACCTTGTGCTTGCAAGGCAAGTGGTGGAACCACTAAGCTAAATCCCTGGCCTGAAACAATGAATTACAGGCAGAAGTTACTGGATGTTTCACTTTTCTTCTCTGAAATTTGCATTAATTCCTAATTTTATTGATTGGTTGTGGTACTGGGATTGAGCCCAGGGCCTATGCACTGAATTATATCCTTGGCTCTTAGTTTTTTAATTTTGAGGTAAGGTCTCAAAGTTGCTACGGTGCCCAAGTTGGGCTTGAACTTTTTATTTTCCTGCCTCAACCTCCCAGAATGCAGAGATTACAGGTGTGTACCACCATACCCAGCTGAATTCCTAATATTCTGGAAAGCCCATCTTTTCCTCAGAGATAGGCTGAAATAACTAAAATCCTAATTCCTACTGAAATTAGCTGTCAGGTATCTTCAGATGTTCTGACAACATCTATGTTCCTACTGAACATAAGTGGCATTGGACATGCAGAAGAGGAAAAGGCAGGATTTCAGTGAGAAGGGAAAATTGTTCCGTGCTCACCTGGAAGACAGGTACTACTTGAGATATCTTATGTGGTTCCAGTGGATCCTTCAGTAAAATGCAGAGGTAGTAAATCACCTTCTGCTGTGAAAAAAATAAACGAGATCTAAGTGAAACTCCTTTTTTGGCGGTATTGGGGATTGAACCTATGACCTTTACACTCCCTTTTTACATTTTAAGACAGGGTCTTGGTAAGACATTAAATTGCCCAGACTGGGCTCCAAACTGCAATCCCCTGCCTCAGCCTCCCAGAGTGCTAAGATTATAGGCATGCACCATCACACCCAGTTTCATTTTGTATTGTTTTTTTCTTCAATGAAACACTCAAAAACTTTTCCATAAATGGCTTTCTGTAAGTAGCAGAATATTTGATAGCTCTTGAAGTGGGTGAGAAATGTAATTCTATAAAGAACAAAAAAATTTAAAAAGCCCCATTCCACCATGGGAAAACCAGAGAAATCCAGCCCTGACAAAGGATTTTTAATCTCACTGTCTCCTTCAGTGTCTCTCCAGCCCTTTCTCCCCACCTCCAAGTCCCTCAATAAAATGATCTGACCACCCCCTAAAACACCATGTATATCATCATGCACCTATAAGCCCTGTTACTCAAGAGGCTGAGGCAGGAGGATTGCTCAACCCTGGGGTTTAGAGGCCAACCTGGCCAACAGAGTGAGACAACCCCATCGCCTTAAAAAAAAAAAAAAAAAAAAAAAAAGGTTGGGGGAATAGATGATTTTGATGCTGGGTTAGAAGATAAAGTTGAAATACAAACCTCCTGTCCATGAAAATCTGTGTCTGTTTAAAAATAGTCTTACTACATGTTTAGTCAACATACAACAGTGGTCCTATAAGATTATAAAAGAACAGCAAAATCCTTACCACCTAATGACATCATAATGTCACAGCGTAATGTGTTTCTTACATGATGCTGATGTAGACAAACCACCGTGCTGCCAGTCATCTAATTATGTATAGAACATATGCTTACTGATAATAAACAATAGTTATTAATTTGTCATGTACTATACTACTTTTTATTGTTAATTTAGAATATAGAGCAGCAGCTTTCCAGCTGCAGCTTGTCCTGAGTTACTCCATTTTGGATACAAATGCTAAGGAGTGACCTTGCATCTTGCTATACAAGGAAACAACCACCATCTGCATGGCATAACTATAAGGCACAGATTCATGCTAATAAAAAATTACTAGCTGGGTGTGGTGGTGCATGCATGTAATCCCAGCACTTGAGAGGCTATAGCAGGAGGATTTCAAATTGGAGGCCAGCCTGGGCTGCATAGCAAGTTCAAAGCCAGCCTGGACTACATATTAGTAAGACCTTGTATCAAAAATTGAAAAAAAAATATTGAGTGTAAGACATGCCTATAATCCCAGCACTTTGGGAAGATGAGGCAGAAGGATTATAAGTTCAAGCACAGCCTGGGTAGCTTTGTAGCTTGGTGAAACCCTGTCTCAAAAGAATAAAAATTAAAAAGGGATGTGAATGTAGCTCAGTGTGAGAGCTTTGGGTTCAATCCCCAGTACCAAAAATAAAAAATCTGTGAGTTTATTAAGTTAAATCAGAGACACACAGAAAACAAGGGCTTCTTGGATCACATCAGAGACACCAGGCTGGGAAGCTTATCAAACATATCAGACCAACAAATGATGCAGCCACCTCAATCCAAGAGGCTTGCCTAAGTAACACAGCACACTGACCCATCATCTGGTGTACACATCATGGCCTCTGCCCAGGGGAGTGCTAGGCCACAAACCACCAAGTGGCCTTGGCTCAGGGCAGTTCTTCCCTGCCCTTTGACACTGCTCACTTCAAAGCCACCCAGACCCTTCACCTCGACAGCTCCACTACTGAGTTACTGACCAATACCTCACTACCTCCAGTGACTCTTGCATTTGTAGCAACTCTTTGCTTTTGCTCTCTCCATGTCTTTTAAATCCTACAGCCTGTTCTTTTGTTTCTATAACCTAAACATTACTATTTTCTGTGTGATATGTGATTTGAGTGCTAAGATATTTAAGTGTAAGGTATTAATAATTAAGATTGGAATGAAACAAAAACACCTGGCAGTTGCCATGGTCACAACTATAGTACGAAGAAACCTGTGAAATCTGTAGAACACAGTGAAAGTAAAGCTGATGACACTGATGTAGCTTGTGAACGACTGATATCCAATAAAATCTGACACTTTGGAAAGACAAACATGTCAGTCTATATTAATGGCATATGTGGCTCACAAGAGTACCTCTACTTATAAAAAAGTTCACTGTAAGGGAGTATGGCAGGTTATGCTGGCAACAGCCTCACACGTCTCATATCGACTGGCTCTCAACTACTTTCCGAGGTCATGGCTCAGTGACCTGTCCACCTACACTGTGTACATATACTCTACTATGTCTGAGCAGTCTAACAATGCATTTCTCAGACCATGTCCCATTACTAAGTGAAGCATGACTGTAAAGGGGCTTCTCTTTTCAATATAGGTTTCACTTCTATGGTTTAATATGCTAATAAAGGAAATGCTAAAAGTACTGAAACAGAGGGTCCTCACATTTAATTCTGCAACATCAAATACTTTAGGCATTAAGACCCAAGTTTAAGCCGGGAATGGTAGCACACACCTGTAATCCCAGCATTCTGGGAGGATGAGGCAAAAGGACTGAAAGTTCAAGGCCAGCTTGGGCAACCTAGCAAGACTTTGTCTCAAAATAAAACAAAAAAGGGCTGGAGATGTAGCTCAGTGCAGAAAGCGCTGAGTTCAATCCCCAGTACAGGAGCAAGAAAAAAAAAAAAAAAAAAAAGACTCAGTTTCTATCTAGGAACAGTCTTAGGAACAGACTTCCCCTCAGAGAGGACTGTAATACTCACCACTTAAACACTTACCATGTAAATAGCCTCGTTAATGACAATGTCTTTGACTTTGCCCATCTCTATGAAGGTGGTGTTTTCTTTGCCTGAAGCATAAGATGACGTCATCTGGATGCCAAGAGAATCAATGATCAACAGAGTCTCCTGATCAATCTTTACAAAATGGAGGTAACCAAGCAGGCCTAAGAGAGTGATGAAGATGGCAGCTGAGAGGATCATGCTGTTCTGAAGAGAAAGCCAGACACAGGTGGTTAAGATTACCAAGTGGCCCTCTGCATGTATCTGCTGTAAAAGTCAACTATGCAAAGGGGTAAAAGGCCCTTGCTCTGCTGTGAGTTGAACAATCAGGGGAACACGGAACATGAATGGAAGAAGGTAAAATCACTTTTATTTGGGATCAGTAGGCCCATCAAAGTATACAGTAAAATGAATCCCAACTATTAATGAACAGGTCTGGGAAGAACCTCTAGCAAGATATGCACTATCACATCAATCTCAGAAATTCTTCTTTCAAAATTATAACTTAGGAGTCCAGATCTTTTCTTCTTGTGTTCCCTCAGAGGAATATATAGCAGAAAATTATAGACTGAACAACTGTAAAGTGCTTAGCACAGCATAAGATACTACTCCTCACCTGATAAATGGCCACTTATCCTTCTTAATAGAATTTGGAGTGAATCATGATTGGCACAGAAAGAAGCATGTGACACAATTCTGTCAATGAGATGGGGGCAAGAGGTGTGCTGTAAAGGGAGAGTATCTTATAAAGAGGGAAGAAAGGTCTCCTCACTGTGAGATTTAGATGCCAGAACTACTATAACTTCTGCCAGACAAAGTGGGAAGCTAGCCAGGGATTTAGCTCAGTGGTGCCACTGCCTGCCTTGCAAGCTCAAGGTCCTGAGTTTGATCCCCAGTACCAAAAACAAAACAAAACAAAGTGGGGAGCTAGTCTGAGGATTAGCAGAGTATAGCCAGGGTGGAAGAACAGGAAGATGAAAAGAGTCAGAATTAAAGGAACCTCTCACATGAACTCTGGAGCATTCCTACCTCATGACTTCTTTTGTTAATTTAAAGTCCTTATCATTTGTCTCAGTTCTGAATTATTCTCAGGTGACTGTGACTAAATGTTGTGTTAAAGCCTCAAAAAACAGTAGCTGTTATGTATTCCTGTGAATCTAAGACATATTTACAACCTTTTGACATTTCAGAAGTTGAACTTTTTATTAGTGTATTTTTTTTCACATGGCATATTTTTTTTTCCCCCAGAAGCTACAATTGAGAAAGCTGGCAAAGGAAAAAGTAACTGATGACCTAGAATCAATGAAATTCAGTAATTTTGGACTGCATTCCTAGTGTTTGTTTATTCTTTGTACTGACTAGACACCCTCCTTGACTGACTCTAGTCAGACTCCTTTAAGCCTTCTACACCATGACCTATGGATCTGTCTTTGTTAGACCTGCACTGCACAGTTGTAGCAAGGACCTTGCTGAGTCAGTTGAGAGAACTCTCACCCTTGGTATATGATAACCCTGGCTTGCTATGTGAATCAGCTGCTACTGTAACAAAATACTTGAGACAAACAATTTCAAAAGAGGAAAGGTTGGGACTGGAGGTATATCTTAGCGGTATAGGACTTGCCTACCATCCATAAGGCCCTAGATTCAATTCCCAACACAAGAGAGATGGTGTGTGGGGGGGGCTGTATTTTGGCTCAGTTTTGCAAGTTTCAGCCCATGGTCAGTTGGTCCTGGGCAAAGCAGTATAACATGGCATGAAGCAGGCTGCTCCCCCATGGCAATCAGGAACCAAAAGAGGAAGAGACTGGTGTCACACTGACACCATCATGGCTGTCAGAGTCCACCAAAGAGACGGGAACAGGCAGAATCCCGAGCCTTTAGCCTGTTACTCAGTAAAAACTTAATTTGTTTTCTCCTAAGACAGGGATTTAAAATCAGTTTTTGCTAAAAACTCTGACTCTTCCCTTTGGCCTACAATTGTCTAATAGGTAACTAAAAGTAGGACAAAGCTTGACCTTCATTTTGTACCCTGTGTTACCGTGAATCTTCGGGTCAAATCCCTTCTCAGCTCTTTGTATGGATATGTTGATCATTTAGGGAGTGTCTAAAAGTTGGTGAAACAAGTTGAATTGCTCTGAATTTACATGATTTCACTCCCTTTCAAGACTGAGAACACCAAGATAAGAGGTTCAGAACTAAATTCAGAAGTCTTCAACCACTGTCCTAAATCTGTCAGGGCTTGCATTCCAGGAAGAACAGAGCCCCACATGACTCAAACCACCAGAGACACTCATTTCATGAGAACAGAATGCCTCTCAATCAGTGGGGATTTCAGAGCTAGGAAACAAGGACTGAAATAATGATCAACCAGACCCCAGCCCCCCAGCTAATCTTTAAAAGCCGGCCACCTGCCTTTTTGACTGGGCCAGTCTAATCCCCTCCATCCAGTGTGCCCCCTCCAGCTGCTCAAACTGAAGTCCTTTCCTGTTTTTCTTATGTTCCTTTGCTAAGGGCCGGCCTGATCTTTGTTAGCTAAATTCCCTTACCATTTTATCTTACTTTCTAATTAAAGCTTTTTCCTATAAATTTGTGCATTAGTTTTAATTTCCTTTAAGAACCCACAGTAGCCAGTGACAAGCATGCCCCCAGTGACTCAATACCTCTCACTAGGCTCCTCCTCTTAAAGTTTCCACCACCTTCCAATAAGCACCAAACTGAAGCCCAAGCCCTTATAACATGCTTTAGCCCAGTGTGGGGGTGGATGCCTGTAATCCCAACTCTGGAAGGCTGAAGTGGGGAGAACTGTAAATTTGAGCCAGTCCTGGTCAACTTAGTGACTGAGTGAGACGCTGTCTCAAAATGAAAAATAAAAAAGGTCCAGGGATGTAGCTCAGTGTAAAGGCCCTGGGTTCAATCCTCAGTACCAAAAGAGATGGGGAAAGGTAGGGGGAGATTCCACCTCTAAACTATACTAACTGACTTCTACAAGAATCTTGACAAGTCAATTCAGACAAATTCTACCTTGCTCCTGATGCTCCTTTTTAGTCATTTCCCATCCATTGATCTCCATCCTGTTCCATGGTTATAAATCCTCACTTGCCCGTGCTATATTTGGAACTGAGACCAGTTCTATACTGAAGTCTCTTTTTCCCTATTCAGTAGTTCCTATTTTTGTTGTTGTTGTTTTCTTGAAGGTACTGGGGATTGCGCCCAGGGCCTTCACACTGAGCTACATCCCCACCTTTTTATTATTTTTTGTTTTGAGACAAAACAAAAGGTCTCAGTAAGTCACTCAGTTACACTTCTGTTGCTGAGACAAAATACCTGACACCCAAAATCAAAGAATGAAAGATTCATCTGGCTCAGTTTGTAGAGGTTTCAGTTCATAGTAGGCTGGCTCCAAGGCAGGGTGGCATGGCAGAGGGGCATTGCAGAGGAGAAACAGTTCATGGCAGGCAGAAGGCAGCAAGCGACAAGGCAGCAAAGCAGCAAGGAGCAAGTGAAAAGCAACAGCAGCCCTCTTTCTGTCCCTTATATTCTATCCAGGCTACCTGCCCTTAGGGTAGGTAGCACTCACACACCTAGGGTAGACTTTCCCACTATTCACTCCCAGAACTATGCCAAACCAGTCAGTGGGCTAATTTAGTAATCACGCACCCTAATCCCAGTATCACACCCTTAATCTCAGCATCACATACTCTAGATTCACCTACCTCTTAAAAGCCCCATCTATGATTGGATGAGGCTTTGAGGGAACATCTAGACACAAGGTATAAGTCACTAAGTTGCCCAAGCTGAATTTGAACTTGCAGTCCCTCTGCCTCAGCCTCCCAGAGTACAGGGATTACAGGTGTGTGCTACCACCCGATTCTAAATAAAATGTTTTTACCACTTTATCTAACTAGCTCTGGTTTGACAGAACCTAACACTTAGTAACTGCTGGATCAGGAACCTGCAAATTTTTGGTCTGTTTTTTTCTGACCCACCTTGAGCAAAGAATGATTTTTAGTCTTTTACAGAGTTGTAGGAAGAAAGAAAAACAATAATATGAGACCGAGAACCAAAAAAACCTAAAATATTTACTACTCATATTTGGCCTTTTAAAGAAAGATTGCTGACCTCTGTGATATATAATTTTTTTTTTTTTACAAAAAAGAAAAAAGAGGAGGATTTAATGTTCAGCCTCCGATGATCCAAGATCTACTTTGAGTTAATTGCCTTATGCAGACAGTGTCTTATGGAAGAATACAGAGGAATAAACTTCAGTCCCAACCCATACAGATTTATCAGTGGCCAGGTTAACACATAGAAAAAATTTTGGAGAATACTATGATACTGACTGTAAGTACCAAAGTGTGTGTGTGTGTGTGTGTGTGTGTGTGTGTGTGTGTGTGTGTGTGTGTGACAGAGAGAAAGAGAGAGAGACAGAGAGAGATCCCATGAAGACTTTCAAGGAAGCAGGGCTTGAGAGAGAATGTGGTGGCTGTTGACAGATATTAAATAATTAGTTGGAAGAAAAAGGAGGAAACATTCCAAGTTGGAATAAATGAGGTAAAAACTTGTAGCTTCAACAGAGCTATGAATTCAAAACCAGGAAGTAATGAAAGGATGAAGAGCTTAGGGGATTTGATCGATGTCAGGTTTCTAATAACATTATCCTGCTCAAAATGTCCTAACTACTTGCATCTTTTTCTACTTCTTTTTTCTGTCTGGAATTAAATAACTCAATATTCATTAAGTCAGAGTTAAGCTACATACATGAGTAAATCCCTTCAATCAGTTTTCTTCTCCAGATATTTATTACTCTCATGGATATTCTGAATAGGAGGAAAGATAAGAAATGTTGGTACAACACAGAGCCCTAAAGAAGTGCTGGAGTAGACACTAAAGAAGATAAGTCATTTGCTTTCAAGGCACTTGGGGATAACTGGGGCAATTATTAGGATGAAAGAGACAAGTATTAGAAGGAAGCTGGCATAAAAACACTATTTAAAAATTTTGCTTAAGATAAGTATATCTACGGCATAATAGAAAAAAGGATTTCAAAGTCAGAGAGGCTTGAATTTGAAGCCCAGATCTGTCACTTACTGGCAAGTTGTCACTTTCTGAGCCTTAATTTTCTAAGGTAGAAATAAGGAATTCAGTATAGCAATTGGTACTCAGTGCATTTCTCCTCCCTGTTTGGCTAGACCTCAGGCTAGTATCAAAGTTCAACTATGTTATAAATTAAATTGGAAGGGATTTTAAGTCAATTATTTCAACTAACTTACGAAGAAACTTGTAGAAACAATTTGGTACAAATTAAGGCAGTCTTAGTGGTTCCGGTGCCTGCCTCGAAAGTGCAAGGTCCCAAGTTCAATCCCCGGTACCAAAAAAAAAAAAAAAATTAAGGCAGTCTTTGGGAATGGTGGAGCACACCTGTAATCCCAGCACTGAGGCAGGAGGACTACCACAAGTTCAAGGCCAGCCTGTGCTACATACCAGGACCCTGTCTCAAAAAAAACCAAAGGGAAAAAAAATTAAGGCAATATTATTTTGTCTACTCTATGCTAAATTACTAAGCTTTGAAATAGCTCTGAAAAATACAGTATATCAAAGAAGCCAATGGGTACAGTAATGGAAACAATATGCAAATTACAGAAATAAATAGACCTGAAGAACTTAGCTGTGGTCAAATCACTTCTGGAATAATATATTATTTAAGTATACTATATAAGAAACTAGAACTCATCCTGAAAAGGACAATTCAGACGATTCTTTTTATTTTTTAAATTTCTTTTCTGATTCTTTTTATTTGAGAACCGCCACAAAGTTACTGCATTTGACCCTCATAATACTATGAAATAGACTTTTTTCTTTATTTTCTTTATTTATTGATTTTGAGAAAGGAGCTCGCTATGTAGTCCAGGCTGGCCTTGAACTCACTATTTAGCCCAGGGTGGCCTCGAACTGGCTGCCGTCCTCCTGCCTCTACCTCCAGAGTGCTGGGATTACAGGCGTGCGCTACCACGCCAGCCTTTCTGAAGCAGATATTAATTCTATTTTAGAGATGTGAACTCTGAAATTAATTCTATTTTAGAGATGTGAACTCTGAGGCTCAGAGAAAACTGGAACGAGGCTGGAAACTGAGCATAGAAACCACTCGTGTCTGAAATTTCGTAATTCGTTAGAAAACACACTTGAAATTGAGGAAAGGATTGGGAGAAGGGAGGATTAAGTTGCCTTGAGAACTACAGGTCAGGGAGAATGCAACACTACCGGTGCACACAAACACCCACTTGTGGAGAGGCAAACGGTTTGTGGAAGTCTACACAGAAGACATGTTAGCCGTGACACTTCTGTGTGATGGACGAGGACGCTCCACTTGACACCTGTCTGAACTCGTGGGATTAAAGAACTGTGCACGCGTGCTACACAGAGCACGTGGAAGTGAAGCTTTTAGGCCATGCTAGAACAGATGAGTGCTGGGCAGATCCACAGAGCCCCAAACTTAGTGAAAAGAGCTGTCCAGCAGAGTGGTCCCGAGAACCAGGGAGTCCCCGCCTCGTACCCCACGACTGCAGGGTCCGACGCGAGGTCAGGACTCCACCCTCCCATCCCTGCGCCGCCGCACCCGAGCGCGGGCTGGGCCCTGCCGGCAGTTACCTCGCACAGAGTGAAGAGTCCGTAGGCCGCCAGCCACACGGTGCAAGTGACAGCTGTGAGAGAGCGCAAAGAGAGCCGAGGGCAGCTGACGCAGAACTCTCGACAGAACGGCGAGTAGTAGCGGCGCTGCAGAGCCAGACGGCCGCCGCAGATGTCCGAGAAGCTCCTCTCGTCCTCCATGGCTTCCTCACTCGAACCCAGGCGCGCCGCTCTAGCACACCCGCGGACAGGCGCGGTCTCGCCGGCTCCGAACGCACGTCTGCCCCTCCCCGCCCCACGCTCCGCGCAGCCGCAGTTGCGTACGGAAAAACCGCGCGTAGGGCTTGGGGGCCTTCGTGCTTCCGATCCCGGCTCAGACTGTGTTTCTTTTTTCTTTTTTTTTGGTACCGGGGATCGAACTCGGGTCCTTGAGCTTGTGAGGCAGGCGGCGGAACCACTGAGCTAAATCCCCGGTCCTCTCTCAGGCCGCGTCTGATCGCCTCTTTCCAAGGATTCGTAGGGAGACAACACATGCGGACTAATGAAAGTTGTTGTTAATGTCCTTTCACTCGACAAACATTTCTGTTGCTAAACCAGATGAGCGCCAAGGAGATGGTCCACTAGGGTTCATTCTTCCACTCCTTCATTCCTGTGCCAAGCAGTTTTATGTGCCAAAGATATTGACAAGGTTTCTGCCTCAAGTATTTTTTTTTTCTAGTAGGACAAACGATATATAAACAACTTAAGATGGTGTTGGCAATAATGTGCCGACTGGTAGAGATGGACCTGGGACTTCCCGAGGCAGCCAGAAGAGGTCTCTGAAGACCTTGGACCAGGTGCCACACTGCGGCGCTCTGTAGAAGAAATTTGGCATAAAGAAGGACCAAGAAAAGCTCTGAGGCTGGAATGAATTTACCTTGAATATTGAAGGAGCCCAAATGCCGAAGAGATTGGTGCTTGGGTTAGAGTTTTGAGTTGGGGAAGCAGATAAGGGTGAGATTGCAGGAGGTTCTTGTAGCACCTGGTAAAAAGTTTGGGTTTCACTGCCTGGGAATTCCCTCTTCCAGTCTACTGCCTGGAGCATGGAGTAGGCAGACAAGTCCTGGCTGTGAGGTACGAGAGCAGGAGGGGAAGTGCAGAAGTTTGGACAACGAAATTACTAAACCCATGAGTAATAAATATCCTATGGGTTGGTTCCCTTTTTACTTCAGATTTGGCCCAAGAGTGGTTTGTGGCCTGGTGAAACAGTTGTGGTCCTTCAGCCCTGAGCAACGGCAGCATTAGGCATTAAAGAGATGATCGCTTTGTGTATAAAGATAAATGGCATAAAGATCAAGTCTCGGAGATGAAAATCAGGCTCAATTTCATCTTCATACACATATTCTCTATCTCTCTTCTTCCCTTCTCTCTCCCTCCCCCTTCCTTCCTGAAAAATTTCCTTCAAGCATTCTTTTGTTTTTCCAATTTTATTTCTGTACTCTGAATCTAAGTAATATATCCCTCTTAATGTTTTTTTATAATGTAAAAGTGATATTTTCTTATTGTAGAAAACCTGAAAGATAAAAAAATTTTAAACGACACATATTGTCACATATAGAAGTACGTCAATGTTTCGGAGAAACTTTAGTCCTGGCATTCTTGTTTCGTTTTGTTTTGAGATAGAGTCTCACTACCTGTGCAGCAATCCTTCTGCCCCAGCCTCCCAAGTGCTGGAATTACAGATGTGCACCTCCAAGCTTGGGTTAGTCTTGACATTCTTAACTTTAGCTCCCTGGAGAGAATCAGGGTTTTGTCTTTAGTTTCATAAACTTCTACTTGAAATGTAACATTTCCTCTGATTATGAATGTAGGTAACAAACCAATTTGTATTAACAGTACTTGTGCTGGGGATTTAGCTCAGTGGTGCTGCGCCTACCTTGCAAGCTCAAGGTCCTGAGTTCAGTCTCTGGTACCGAAAAAACAAAAAACAGTACTTGTGATTTTTGTCACTGATAGAAAAAACAAATATTTTCATCTCATAATAATCATTATAGTTATCTCAAAATGTAATGTCCATTACTACTTCAAAATTGCAAAAATTATTAGAGGTACTACTAGATCTTGTTATTTAGTGAGTCAATAAAGAGACTGTACTATAACATTTTCAAAATATTTTGATAAATATATATATTTTTGATAAATATCTTTTAATTCAGTTTGTTTTCTTTGAAATCCTATGCATTTTATTTATGCATTATTATCAAACATTATGACAAAAAGTCCATTAGCTTTACCAGTCTTGCAAAGGGTCTACAGCACAGAAGATAATAAAAACCTGTATTGTATAAGAAATTTTACAAGTAGCTGGCTTTGTTGTCAAATACCTGTAACCCCAGATATTTAAGAGGCTGAGATAAGACAATTGAGCCAGGGATTTAGCTCACTGGTTCTGCTGCCTGCCTCACAAGCGCAAGGTCTGGAGTTTGATCCCCTGTACCAAAAAAAAAAAAAGACAATTTAAAGTTGGAGGGAACTTATGGTGACCCTGTCTCAAAATAGAAAAAATAATTATTAGTTGTATTGTGGTAATGTAAACTGCTTTGTTCTGTCAGATCACAGCATTGTCTTACTTCTTACGGAGTTTGGCACTTCAGTAGAAAGTGAAATATGTATATGACATTTACCTTGATGCCAATTGAGATGTTAAGTGACAAGTTCTCTTGACCATGACCTTGTAAAATCAGCAAGGAGTGATTTTTTTCACTCTCAGCAATGGACTTCAAAGTGCTCTCAAGCCTGAGAAGTCAAGTCCCATGTGAAAAGCATTGGTTGGGCAAGGAAGTGCAGCTGGTAGAAAGGCCTTACATTTATTTTTTTTTAATTTTATTTTATTGCTACATTTTAGGTATACAATATAATGACATTCGTCATTGGAAATTTGGACCTTTACATAATCTCTCTTGGTTCTTATTTTTCCCCCTTCCCCTGCCCTCCCTTCAACCCCTCCATCCATCCCTATTTATAAAGACTTTGTTTCCATTTTTTCATTTTCTCATGTTAATTCCATTCCCTTCTTTCCTTTCCCTTACCCCTCCCACTTCCCCTTCCCCTTTGCCCCTTTTCTTCCTATTTCACATTATCTGTTATACCTTTTAGTCCTTATTTACACTTTCAGTTTCTCACACTAGAGAAACTATTCAGTATTTATACATGTGTGTCCTATTTATTTCACTTAAGAGTATCGCCTCAATGTGCATCCACTAGCTATAAATGTCTCTAACTTCTCATTTTTAATGGCTGAGTAGTACTCCATTTTATTTTTAAAAACCCCACATTTTCTTTATCCAGTCTCCAGTTGATGGGCAATTGGGCTGCTTCCAAGTTTTAACTATTACAAACTGTGCTGCTATGAACATGGGTCCACATATATCACTGTGGTATGATTCTTTTAGTTCTTTGGGGAAGGTACCCAGTAGGGGAATAGCTAGGTCAAATGAGACTTCCAGTCCTAAATCTTTGAGGTATCTCCATACTGATTTCCACAGTGGTTGCACCAGTCTACACTCCCACCAGCAGTGGAGCAGGGTTCCTCTTTCCCCACAGCCCTGTCAGCATTTGTTATTGGTTGATGTCAGGATAGCAGCCATTCTTTCTGGAGTGAGGTGGAATCTCAGCGTTGTTTTTCTTTCTTTCTTTCTTTCTTTTTTTTTGGTACTGAGAATCGAACTTGGGACTTGGTGCTTGCACGGCAGGTGCCAGAACCACTGAGCTAAATCCCTGGCCCTCTCAGTGTTGTTTTCATTTGCATCTCTCGAATGACCAGTGATGTTGAACATTTTCTCATATGTTTATTTGCTATTTATACTTCTTTGTCTGAGAAATGTCTGTTCATTTCAGATGCCCATTTTTGGATTGGGTCTTTAAATATGGGAGGTCTGATATTTTTAAGTTCTTTATAGATTCTAAATAGACCTTTGTCTGAGGAACAGCAGGTGAACATTTTTTTTTCCCACATTGTGGGTTGTCTCTTCACATTACTGATGGTTTCTCTTGCTGTGCAGAACCTTTTTCATAAGAAGAGATCCCAGTTGTTGATTGTTTGTGCTAGTTCACGGGCAACTGAGGTTTCGTTCATAAAATCTTTTCCTACACCAGTGTCTTCAAGAGTTCTACCTAACCTCTGTTCCAGGCGACTCAGCGTTTCTATTTTAATATTTAGATCTTTAATCCATTTCTATTTTAGTTTAGTGCATGGTGAGAGATATAGGTCTAATTTTAATCTTTGGCTAATTGAAACCCAATTTTGCCAGCACCATTAATTAAAGAGGCTGTCTTTCCTCCAGTGAAAATAGGTCTCCTACTTAGGGCCACTTACCTATAGGGAAGTGCTATGGCTTGTGTCTAGATGTCTCCCCAAAGCCTCATGCAGTCATAGGGAGTGTTTTTCAGAGGTGGCTGGATCTAAAGTATGTGGTGCTGGGATCAAGGGTGTGTGTTTACTAAATCAGTCCACTGATGGTTTGGCAGTTCTGGCTAGGATTAAGAGTGTAAGTGCTACACCCACCCTAGGTCGGGTAGTTTGCATAAAATATAAGGGACAGAAAGAGGGTTACTGTGCACTTGCCTGACTGCTTGCCATGGACTTTCTCCTCTGCGATGCCCCTCTGCCATGCTACCCTGCCTTGGAGCCAGCTGACTATGAACTGAAACTTCTACAAACTGTGAGCTAAATAAACCTTTCCTCCTTTAACTTCGGGTGTTCGGTATTTTGTCTCAGCAAGGAGAAAGAAATTTCAACATAATAAGGATTTTTAAAAGGTAAATATGACCCTTTTTATTTTGATTAATCTTTGTAATATTTGTGAGTGTATTTCTCTGTACTATTTTAGTGGTTGCTCTAGATATATTACGTATCCACAACTTAACTTAACATGGTGTACTGGTACTGACATTTTACCAGTTTGAGTGAAGGGTAGAAATCTTACTTCCCTTTATGCACTTTTACCTTTCCCAATTTATAATTGTCTGAAATATTTCATCTGCTTCATCAGGAACTACATCAGACTGTGTCATAATTTTCATTTCAACCACCAAACATAATTTAGAAAACTCAAGAGGAGAAGGAAGTCCTACTGTTTACTCAGTTTTGCCTTTTCCACTGTTCTTCCTTCCTTAATAGTGTTCCAAGCTACCTTCTTTTATCATTTCTGTTTAGAGAGCTTCTTCTAGATGATATTATTATTATTATTATTATTATTATTATTATTATTGGTACCAGGGATCGAACTCGGGACCTTGCGCTTACGAGGCAGGCAGTGGAACCACTGAGCTAAATCCCTGGCCTTCTAGACAGTATTTTAAGGCAGATCTGCTAGTGACAGATTCTCTTGGTGTTCTTTCATCTGAGAATATCTTGATTTTCCATTTATCCCTCCTCCCCCAGTAGTGGGGATTTACCCATAGAGCACTAAGCTACATCCTCAGCCCTTTTTATTTTTTAAGTTTGTTAAGTTGCCCAGGG